TGATTTATGGAAAATGTTGACGTATCTAAATCAAAATTCTAGCAAGTGGTTTCTGAATTCTATTATAATATTATCTTATTATAATAAGGCTAATAGCCCTTAAAAATCTTTTTACAAAACTATAATTAAATATGTAGATTTTTCTATTTAATCTGGTGGTACTTATTATTCTCGGATAATTTAAAAAAAATGTATAATGTTAATGGATATTAATATTAATCACTTAAATTTTCAAGTCATCATAGGTAGCTGATAGACGATAGCCCCAATATATATTATCCACACGATTTTTTATTATAGATGTATTATCGTTATTATATCCTTAATAGGTACACAAAGTTAAATAAGGTATTTTAAAAATATTATCATTAAAAAAAAAATTCTAAACCATTTTTTTTTTAACTACTTTATTTTAAAGAAACAGACAATAAATTTTTAAAAATAAAGAATAATCCTAGCTTTTGTGTAGAAAATAAATTTAACACAACACGATCAACAAATAAAAGAAAATAGAAAAAAAAGTAAGACATTTACCAACAGTATATATTAGGTAATACCTTGGTTTTAACGGTACCCGTACTATTATCGTAACATATTAATATATTATACCTTCACATCGATATTTTTCAAAAAATATTCTGCTCCACAGAGAATACCTGAAATCGAAAAATATAGTGGTCGACGTTTAAAACAAGAATAAATTTTAATAAGAAATGGTATCCATTTTTTTTATTATTAACATCTAAATAATAAATATCACCGTTACAAATCATATTATATTCATATGTATAGGTACCTACATTATACCTAGTATTATTGCACACAGTCGTTACTGTATATACATTTAAAGAAATATATTATAATAATATTATATTCTTAAAAACCGTACCTGCATAATATAAATAATAATATGCACTGAATATTATTATTATTATTATTGAGTATTAAACGCACACCATTATGAAAAAAAAATTATCGAACATTAAGAAAAGAAATACCCAAGTGTATATAATGTGTCATAAAAAGTAATAACACGCTGTATAATTTTCGACTTAATAATTAGATGAATATATTACGCATTTAAGCGTGTGTATAAGTATATTTTTTTATCGTTCTCCAACTCTACCTATACACTGGCTGTATACAAAGTTACTATGATAATACTCAAGTATGGTGTATCGGTGTACCTATATATTATAATACTGCATACATACAAATCGCAGAGGTTGAACCGCCGTACTCGATGTAGGTGTATGTATACACGTCATAACATGAAACGTTCGTACATTAGGAATATTAAAGCGCGTTTTCGAACGGAAACGTTTTAGTGAAATCGTCGAAATTACATTTCTGTGCAAAATGATAAACAAAAAAAAGCTCATGTTTAAAAAAAAAATAATAATAATACGTAACCGCTATACTCCTGCACGTTATAACTTATAGGTAGGTATATATACATAGATACATCAGGTTTATGTACATACATTTATTATAATTTTATATATACATTATATATAGATATACCTACTATAATATTTGGCTGCAAGAGAGGACAATATAGTAGAATTTGAACGCCACTCGGGAAATGGGTAGGTACATAATATGACATGTTATAGTAGGTATATACAGAGTGATTCACCAGACATCTCATTGCTCACACTTTTTATCATCATGCAATTTTTTCTAATCTTGATATTTGACAGTTTCATGTTTAATATTCACTAAAACGTTTCAAAGATCATATTTTCAAATACTCATATTTTTCTAAGTCATTTAGCTGAAAGTATATAATATAGTCTCTAAATGATTTAGAAGAGAATGTGTGGCCAAGGGCTAAGACAAAGATACACGAAAATCGACAGACGTGAGAAAAAAAGTTCGCGTACTATAATAATACATGTAATAATATAATATTATATATACGTCATACCAGGGGCGTAATTGGTGGGGGATTAGGGGGAAAGACCCGCCGAAAACTTTTTTTTTATTGCTAACATTTTGATCAAAGTATTGGTAATGACCATTAATGTTTGCTAAAACATATATCCCCCCCCCCAAACCAAATTTCTAATTACGCCACTGCGTCATACGAGTATACGAAGTATCTTATGCAACATTGCAACCGATTATCGTAGTTTTACGATAAAACTCTCTCAACATCGGTGTAAGCCTGTGTGCGTGTGTGTGTGTATTTGTTTATGTGTGTTTGTGTGTAAAGCGCTATTTGTTCTAATTAACGGCTATGGCCGTTGGAAAAATATTGTTTTATCGCTACCTACACACGTTTCCTTCCTCAACGAATATAGTTTTGGATTTAATAAGCCGTTGTCAGGCGAAAACGGCATTAAAAATTAATGAAAGTGCTAATTCTGTAACGTATAATAATAATAATAATAATAATGGTAATAAATAAAACAAAAAGAATCGCATTAGAAAAAAAAATTGAGACCATCCATTTTAAGTGCAACAAAACATTATTTCTTATTGTGAGACGTGCAACATGGGATTGTTCACATATTTTGTTTTTTCGCCAAGCCTTATTTTATATATGTATCATTTTATGCATTAATTTATATTATCATTATTTACATATACTTACCTTGTCTATAATAATATATTAATATAATGTGCCCGATACCTTTTGTATTAATTTATTGTTTTATCATAATATTCTAATAACAATTTCAGTTTACAATGTTTTCGTCGAAACAATGAAATCTAAATTCACACAGTTTCTCTGGTGAGTATAGCACATGGCTATAAATAATAGTTAATGAAAAATAGCATCATAGGCAAAGTATTTGTTGCAATAATAATTATGGTTGTTAGTTGTAACCAGTTCATACTATTATCAAATGTGGTCAAATGTTATCGTCGTGGTTTCACATTATTTTTACTGTAACACTATATTATAATATTTCTAATTGAATGCCGTTAATAATTATGCATTTAATTTGTATTTTTTACATTTATTAATTATTATATTTATCTTTTTCTTTGAACATAAAACAGTCATATTATAATATATAATTTGTGTGTACTTATTCCAAATAATATTATTTTATCGAAAACTACTTAGAATCATACTTGATTAATATAATGGCATCTACCCGAATACATATATAATTAAATAATATTATACTGACGTTATATTCGTTTCAGTTTCTTAGTGTATTAGAACATGGAATACAGCCGCTCAGTTCACAAACTATAACATCATTACATTAATAATATCGAAAATCAATAGAAAAATATAATTATCATGGCTGCGTTTCTTATTAATTAGTAATTACATATTATACACATATAGAGTTTGAGATAAAAATTCTTAACCGAAGAAAAAAATAAATAGCCAGAGCCAAAACACAATTTATATACAGGGTAATTTTTCAAGCATGATCGTCTTATTTTTATGCTTAAATAATGCATATATTCAAATTCTGATTTTTGGAATTTTTAAATACACTTGAAACCTATATTTTCAAATACTTGAGATTTTTTGTACCACTTAAGGATGATCTTGTGACAATACAAACTTTTGTTTTTCAAATAAGGACACCCTTTTTTATTTTTGATTATTCAGCAGATATTTTTTTTAGAATTTTGATGTATTTAAAGCAAAATTCGAAATAGTAGTTTTTAAGTTATATAACTTTGTATACTCGGTAAAGATAATGCATTATTATGGTATAAAATGGGCTTATCATTTGAAAAATGGAAGCTTATATCAACACAGGACACCACTTAAGTAGTATAAAAAATAATAGGAATTTGAAAATATAGTTTTTAGGTAAACTTCAAAGTTCTAAGGCAGAATTCGAATACATTTACTATCAAACTGAAAAATGAGGGTGAGCAATGAGCATGGTTAAAAAACTACCCTGTATATCAAATATATATAGGGCCATAGTGGAAGTCGTACTCACGGTTTAAGATAGAATGGTTGACAAAGTGATGATGCAATGTACTCATAAGTCATAATGTATATTATTATAACTTTTATAAGTTATAAGAACGTCTGACGATACGATGACCGCCACCTGAAAAATATTATAAAACGGAAACCTAACTTTTATAGTTGTGCAGCGATAATCCCATAATGTATACCTACTACGGAACAATGTGACACGCGTGTAGTAGGTACACATTACACACACCTGTACATGTGTACATAATCGGATGGTCATACAATCTGATAAGACGCGAATTACGCATACGTACAATACATATTATTATTATAACACGAATGCTTCGGAATTTGCAGCATTGAACATGTCCATGACAAACCGAGTGTCGTACGATTGGAAAACCATATAAAAGCGATACAGTAATTGGATATTATATTATTCATATTATTACGTTTTTACACGTGTACATTATGATAATAATATGTAATGTATATAATATAACAGTACAAAGGTGATTTGTATTTTATTCACAATCAGAGTGTGGGCTAATAAATTAGGTCGGCATAATATTATGGAGATATAGGTTTAATCGATAATTTAAACAAAAAAACCAAACTACGAGGAATTTTTTTTCCTCTCTATTATTTAGTATATTATTTTACTCGTATATTGCAATTTGCAGTACTGTGTAATACCTATGTATAAGAACGCATTGTAATTGCTTTAAAAATTTAAATCAAACTGCGCACCGTTTTTTAACACAAAAAAATATTTTATTTTCACGAGAATATGATATAACGACATGCAGACAACCTGGCAGCGTATTTATATATCTGTGCATCACATGCAGATTATTATATCGCTATATTTATGGGTGTCATAATTATTTTAGGCCATTTATCTGCAGGCATTCAACATTGAAGCTAATGACGTGTGGAAATATAAAATAATATAAATAAAAAAACAATAATAATGGTATACATATATGTATTATAATCCTACACAAACAATAATAACTTAGGCGTGTAATGCAAGTACCTTCACCTAATAATAATTAACGTATTGAAACTAATTGTTTCCGCTAATGTGCTTTTAAATATCTGCACTAGAATCTGTCGGTGTACTGCTGGATGCGGTGTAGCTGATAAATTCTTTATTAGTAAATTGATGAATCGATTTACTAGGTTTCATCGTGATGCCGTTTTTAGAATTTTCGATAAACGTTTTGACGAAAAAACGGCTGTGTTCACCAACATCTGGACTCGTTATAAAGTCTTCGCACTAAAGAAAAAGAACAAAAAATAAATAAAAGAAGAAAACAATAATAAAACGGAGTCACGGAGATATCTACTGTTTACGAAACATGACAAGAATATGTAATTTATATTATTGGATTTTTAGGTGTGACTTTCTTGTACGATGAATTTATTAGTCCGTAATTCCGTATGGTAGGTGCATACACCTATATATTATTATCATCCTGCGTATTTATGGTACAATTTTCCCTTGATCTCGATAAAAAATGTTGTTAATAGGTTGACAATGATTTGGTATAAGTACACTGTAGAAGAATTATTCAAAATTACAATGATCATCATTGATATTCACTATATATCGTGAACTGCAGTTCGTTATATAAATACCTAATAATATTTTTAATGTAAATCATCTGTAAACAAATATTACCTATAAGAGGACAATTCTTATAATTTAAATTTTGAAGTGCGCAAGTAGTATTATTCATTTCATTGTACGAAACCATGAAGTTTTGTTATTATTGAATTCCTATCTAAAAACTGCTTTTGTATTATGTAGTTAGTATTTCTTAGGTTATTATCCAATTCCAATACATTTACACACAAGAATTAATTATTTTAAACATATCTGCTATACAATTACTTCAATATAATTATTTGACAAACGTAGTTTTTTCATAAATATGCGAATAATTTAAAATATATACATTAATGTAATAAAATGATAAATAATATTTAAATTTAAAATCATGAATAATTGTTCTCAACCTATAGATTTATATATCATTTTAATTTAAGTATCAATAACGAATGCAATAGAAAATCTATTATAAATGTTAAACAGATTAAATTTAAAATTGGGTCCAAAAGGAGAGATGAAACTATTATAAACCGTCTTCGAAAAGGCCACTTTCACACAATTTATTATCTCATGACCAAAAATGATCCACAAAAATGATGTAGATAATACTAAGTGGATAAGTATAATAGTATCATAATGCCATAATGGAATGCCAAAAATAATATGAGGATTTGATAATCAATAACTACAACATATAGAAGAATAACTACAACCAGAAATTATTTAATATGAAATATAACCATCATCATCCTTAAAAAAGGAGCAACATTATACAACTTAGTTTAAGTTAATAATATATTGTAAACAAAAGAATACAACTAAGTAAATACGATGTTTAAACTTATGTTCATAGTCCATAGATGATGATTTTATTAATTATATATTCAATATAAAAAATTAATTTAAGTTGTTTGAATAAAGAATGTTGCAATATATTTTTTAACTATTATTATATTACTACCTCAATATTATATTCAGTTTTATGCAATTACCTATATGTGAGTGCTGACTGCGGAGTACATAAATAATTATAATGCATGTGTACTGTGTGATCCTGATTCATACAATATATATATTATATATAGTGTTTGAAAATTTCATGAAATTTAAAAAAAATTAAAAATTTCGTGAAATATATCATGAAATATTTCAGTATTTTAATATATTTTGTTTTATTTTTAAATAAGTTTTATATTTACATATAATTGTCATAAATTACCTTCATCACTATATGGTACCTGTATGTATACCTACCTTTGGTATTATACATTTAAATTGGTATTCAACATTTTTAAATATTTTAATGTTTAAATGATACAAGTAGGTATACAATATTATTCATGTATATTGTATACTTACTGAATTCTGACATTAGAATTTGGAACACTGAACATTGTGTTAAAAAAATAAATAAATTGTGTTTTTATTTGTGTTAAAAAAAATTTCAATGTTTCACGTTTTTGTGAAATATTTCTCATACTTCAAACCCTAATTATATATACCTATATTATATTTATTATTATATCTATAGAAGTACAGATAGATAAACGGTATTTGTTTTTCATTTAAATTATAAACCAATATAAAAACTTTAAATTTATCTGAATCAAAATGTCAATCTGTGATTATACTTTATAGGCAATTAAAACAATTTCGATTAGATACCGATATTTTAATTTAAGGGAATTGCGTTGGAAAAAACGATTTTATAATATTTGTTTTTTTTTTAGTTTTGCAGTAAAAGTTTTTACGTTCATTAAAATTGTATGCTGGAATATTCGTCGAGTACCTATATCTACTACCTACCCTTAAAACTTCGTACATCTCTTGAAATATCGACTTTTGGAATAATAGTTTTTTAGTATTCAACATAAAGGGATTATATCCTCGTCGAAGCAATCTAAAGTTAGAGATAACGAGCCAATGGAAAGTGTTAATTTGGCAGATTAACATCTGTGAGATTATAGGTGATTCAATTGTTGGAAGGGACCAGGAAGGATATTAAAAAGTGTCATAAATCTGCTGCAAGGAAGTCACGGGCTTAATGACGTAATTTTTTTTATTTGATTTTTTTTAAGCATTCTCGCCGAATAGGTAAAACAATTCTAAATTACCTTCATCCATTTAGCCTCTGATATCTCATTATCAATCACAATGTCGAAAGTTAACGGTCGCAAGTTTGTGACGAAATACATATCATCACAATCGAAACTTCCACTTAAAACGTGCCTGAACGCCACTAAAGATACGAATTCGGCTCTGATGCCCGTCTCTTCAAATACTTCTCTAATGGCAGCGTCACCGATATTTTCTCCTTAAAAAATAAAATACACGATATATATTATACATATTAATATATTATGTAGGTACAGCAGTGGCGTATAAAGGTTAAGTGATTCATCCACCAAAATAAATCCTTTACACGTCACGTATATGATATAGAAAAAAAGGATAAATATCCACGTGAGTTGGATCAATTATTTATACATCTCACGTACAAATATTATGTAAATTATATATATTATTATAATTATTATTATATGCTTATATACGATATAGTAAATAGACGGATAATAATTATTGTTATCCGTTGTAATATTATCGAGCATTCAACACGTACGTTTGCGTGTTACTTTATCCTTATCATATGGTGTACGAATATAGAAATGCGAATTATTAATATTATTGTACTGTGAATTATAATAATATGCGTGTAAATATGACGGGTCGCCAGTATATTATTTAATAAAAAAAAATAAAATATCGGGTTTCCGGTTTGTAAAATAATAACATGAACACTGATCATTAGTGGCAATATACAGAATATCACAAATAAAAACGATAATGGATTATAGTGATTAAACCGAACATTTTTTGTCCCGATATTATATCAGCTATTATTATGATGCCCTATTATGCTGAGGCCAAGGACAAGAAAAATCATAAAAACAATTAAACAAATTTATTACATCCAGTATCCACGTATAATAATATACCTATATAGTTTTAGATACGACATTGCCAAATTAGAACAGAAAAAAGTAAAAACCACGGTTTTACGACATTCATATAATATAATATAATAATTTAATCGTGCGTAATGAGCCGAATAAATTGACACGTATTGAAATAATTTCAAACATGAAATTAACAACCATTATTTTAATGACCTTTTAAATAGGTATGAGATTTTTTTTACCGGAAAATCAGTTTTATTTCACTTTTATACTTTCACCGACTATTTTTTTTTTTTAGTCATGTAATTACCATTTGTGTTTTTTTTAATTACACTAAGGATTACCTCATAAATATGTAAACGCGTAGGTATATTATATTATAATATATATGTGAATATGAACCAACCGTCGGGATAATAAAACCTTATTAAAGTACAAAATGCTCACCAGGATTTACATAACCTCCGGGCAATTTCCAAAATGGAAGGCTATGCTCTTTGACGACTAACAAATGATCGTCGCGTATCACTAGACCTCCAGCCCCCGTGTACGTATGAGGGGAGTCTACCGTAGATGTGCTTTCACCCCTTAAACGTTTGTACATCCACAGTTCGTTACCGTCCGGTGATGTTCTGTGAAACAGGAAATTGTTCTAGAACCAAACACAATATATTTTATTATGTACACGTGTGGTTGGAAATCCTAAAAGCCAAACGAAAAGTTAATATGTTATGTAGGACTTAGAAATGTGTCAAAACACAAAGCCTACCAAGTTTCAGAAGTATTACCTTTTCAATATAAAATGACATGCTGTATAGAATTTCAGTTATATTGTTATTATTTTTTTCTATCGTAAACATACAGTGACGAGATATTCAAGACGGAAACAACATAATATAATACAATATTGTCATTCGTAACAAGTTTTTTGATGATAAATTAATCCTGTAACATTTCTTGAGTTCGGTTATACATTTTGACATTATATTCGAATACATTTTGAAACTTTTTGTTTTATAATTATGATTTGATTTTTAAATTTATAAGAAAAATAATGGTAAAAAGATGAATCATAGGTAAATATTATGTTTGATATATTTAATTCAAATTTAAGATATTTTAAATTTTGATTTTTGAGGGATATTATTTTTATCTGTAGCAATATGTGAGTATATACTATTTTATATTAATAAGTTATTATATTTGCATGCAAAAAAACACAATATACATTTTTTTTATTATTATCATATTTCATAGAATTATATGACTAGGTTATTAGTTATTATTTCAAGTACCTATACAACTAGTATTGGAATAATATTAAAGAATACGATAAATATTTAGGTAACGAATATTATTTAATTATTTCATCAAAAAAAGGTTAAATAAAACCTATGTCTAATAACTATTTATAAGTAATCAACGAAGAGAATAGTTTACTTCTTTCACGAAGCCAGAAGTTATAAAAGTAATTTTATCCTAAACTTTAAGTTTACCAGGAAAGTAAATTTTAATTCTACTCATACAGTATTCTCAAAAGTTGTGAGGCATTGTCTTTAACTAAAGTTTTTCACGGATGAACGATTATAAATGATTAAAAGGGTCTTAGTAGATAACATACTACTGTTTTATTTACCATATTAAGTTCTGAATATAATTTAAAAATAATTATAAATGGAACTTGGAAGTAACGATTTTTTAAATATTTGCAGCATACAATTTGAAAACTTAATCTTTTTATGAGCAAGTATTAAAAAAAAGAAACTAACAAACTGTTATTGAAGGATTTTTATTATTTAGTAAGTACCTAGTACCTCTAACTTGAACACAATATTATATCTAAGGTAAATATTAAAATATATTAAATACACATTTAATGGGTATTATAATAAGGTCGTATAACTAATACGTATTGCATATTATGTAGATTTCTGATTTATTAACACAAACAGCTAATCATTGCATTATAATTGGAAATCTAAATTATTATCTTAAAATATATTATATTATATGGCCTAACCTATAAGGCTATACATATTTAAAAATAATTTTATTTGGATATCAGATAACTCAAGATTCAAGAGTGGCTGAGTGGAAATTAAAGAGATTATGATGTTTGTATAAAGTAAAATAGATATAAGGTTATATACTTGGTCGTTTTGTCTAACTATTATATTCGTGCCAGCTCTTTATGGGTTCAGACTTTCAATGCACACTTTAGGATTGTATTGTTAAGAACTTCTTACTTTGGCCAATTCCGAAATCCAATGCGCATGCTGCCGAGCTATCTGGAACCACACCAAGTGCACCTGTTCATCGGCCGACCATTTAATTAGAGATCCTGCAAAAATAATGGTTTTTTGAAAACGTGTTAAACACAAGTTCCGAAGAACGTGATCTGGCCCCATATGGCGGCAACGACCCTTGTGAGAGGAGGGTGAGTGGCTTAGTGTAAAAAAAAAACAACAACAACAAAACTGAAGGGGGTGAAGTTCAATTTCGGGGGCTGCGTCATGTTGTGGAGTGGAAAGTAGATAGTGGGGAGGGGAAGAGCGAGAGAGAGAGGTAGTCGGAGAGAACGCAATGGAGGGAGGATTAATGTAGAGTACAGAATCCCCAGGGTATACGCGCACACGCTCTCGCGGCCCAGGGAATAAATCACAGATTAACTTGAAGGTTCGCATTCAAATTTATGTCGATGGATTGTAGTGGCGGTATAAGGGAAATATGGCAGCAAAAAAAAAAATAAAAAAATTTTACACATGCACTGCATATATGCGTGTATAAATGTATATTATATTCTGTTGTAAATCCGTTTTGAGCAAAAAAGTTTTTTCGGTACGGCGGGAGGGGAAAAGCTCGATGCCGATTATGTACAAGTTTTAGTTGGTTGTTAAAAATATGTTAGCATGAATATCATAAACTATTGTCAGTATTTTTAAACATTGACAGCCTTCGCCTTAACGGTAATGTTTATTTTTCAAACTTGACTTAATACCTAAGAACTCTGGCAACTCGTCAAAAATGGTAAGTTTTAATCGTCGTTTCACTCGCGGAGGATTTGTACGTAATTAACAGATTTATTATCAAACGGCTCCGTAGAAATGAACATGTGGCATACATAAGCAGACAAATTGCCGATTTTAGTAACATTTGTATAGAGGTAAAGAAAAAGTACAAAGCGTTAAAAAAAATTATAACGAATGTTTCCGGTTGTATGTTTACGAATGTCTAATTTTTTGTTGTCGCTATTTTTAATCAACATGTCTGTTTAATTATTTCAAAATTGCTTGATCGATTTATTTTAATTTGTTAATTATTACTGCAGATCAATGTGTTTTGGGCACATTGTTTGATATAAAATTGCGTCGTACTATAATCGAATAAAAATATTTTGTTGTTGACAGCAGCACCAGCAGAAGTATTATAGGCTAGGCGTATACCTCACTATAACATGCAATACACAAACGAATTATATGTAACAGTTATCGGTTATACACTTATACTATACCAAAACATTTCATTTGTGTCATATCAAGTTCTCGCTATATATTACTAAACACAAAATAGTAAATGTGAAACACGGTAAATCGGAAAATAAGATCAATGGTTATTTTGCATTCGTGAATGTTTGATAATAATGAATAAATAGCGGTGATATAATGAAATTTACCAAAAATAAACAATTCATATCATTATACATTTTTCAATACAAAAAATGAGAAGAATTTAATCATGCAGCTTTTGTAAATAATTGGTTTAATATTATAATATTATCGAATACCTACCTACAATAGCTGCAGTACCTAAATCAATATATTATAACAAGTTAAATAAAATAATATCTATACAAACGTGTTTTTGTAAGTATGCTACTATCCACACGTCATATATTAGTACCTATTCGGTATTTAGTGTAGGATTTCATTAGTTTTAGTAGTTATTTACTTACTTAATATATTAAGTTTCGGCATCGGCTTCTCCGACCGTTGGCTGTATATTATTCTGTACATATATACTATATAACTATTAACTATGCATACACTCATATTTTATTTTATAGAATATCGTATTACAATAGTGAGTAGTAACTATTTTAAAACAATATAACTTAAAGCGAATAAGATAAAAAAAAAAATGACTGGTCATTTAAAAGTTTGATATAAAAAAAGGAATAATAGTGACATTTTTATAACTGACCGTAATTAAATGCAGCTATTGAATTAAAAATACTGTTTGTTTCCACTTTCCAGTTGAACTTAAAAAAAAGAGGGTGGCATTTCGGAACATTAATTTCACTGTTGGGCACTTGTCTTGCTTATCTCGCTTCAGTCGCGTGGAAATTGCATTTGGGATAGGTCACTTGGTTGGTGTGTTGTCTTTTTAAATCCGAAAACGATTAATCATCGAATTCTAAAAACAATTCTAGACGGAGCTTTTAGTGTTGTTTACGTTACAATCATGAATTGTGTGGTTTTTATTTAATCCAAAGAAATGAGAAATTTAAAATTTCGACACACTACCCAAAGTACAATCTTCGTTCAATTTCCGGTCGGTTGAATATAGGTTCTACCAGACAGTTTTAAATTCAGTCTACTATCTAAAACACTAAAAAATAGCAATAATAATAAACACATCAAAGATAAGCCGCAATAGCTTTCTTGATATGCTATAATGCTCAGTATTTAAATATAAATATACAACTGGCTAGTACATTTATTTTATATCAACGTTTTTTATTTATTATGTAAAACTATAATAAATGTTTTGTGTAATAGGTTTTGAAACCTTGTTTAGGTCAAATAACTATGTAGAAAATAATTTAAGGTATATTTTTTTTATAAACACCTACTGGCCTAGTCCAGACATGTTTTTGACATTCAATATTACTTTTGATTTACAACGCATTTTACACATATTGCCCAACAGTTTTGTTAGCCGAATTTTCGTAAAGTAAATCTATTATATCATGTGGCCATGAGGGATGTAAACAGTCTACATAATATGAGATATATATATATAAGTTTTTCTATCAAAACATTTTGTTTCTAAATTTCTCCCAAACGTCAAAAACATAACCTAAAATAACAGTGTTCTAAAAATGTTTAGTCGTTTTGAAATGTATGGCTCAATACATTTATGTCAAAAAATTATTAAACTTTATTGTTTTCAAAAATAAAAAGGTGCTCTGCTGTACAGTAGGTTACAAGTGGGTCACTGTATAATGGATGGTATTAAATTTGAATTCAATGATATAATATCATTGTATAAGAAAAACGATTCTGGGCGGAGACGGTATGTCAGTCTAGGTATAAGACATATTATATAATTATCTATGGTATTAAAAAAATTGACCTATAATAGGTACCTATAATAAATTCCAAATTAATCATATCACAATATCCATTAAGTACTTATAACGCGTTGTACATCAACAAAAAACCGTGGTACTATCATAGATATATAATAGTACACTTTTGAAGTTTCAAGTACCCACGAATAATATTATACAATCACAACAAAATAACTAAAATACTTATTCTAGGTTTTTTAATATGTAATTTCGTCTAAATTTGAACTTAAAATGACTATAAAAATAACTGTGCTTGTGTATTTTTTAGATTTTTTGGTAACAGAATTAACTACTTACATAGAATCTTGTTTTAAATTTTCAATCATTAGATATAAAAGTTGAAAATTTCATAAATTTTTAAATAAAAAATAATTATTCAATTTTGAATTTGATAAATGTTGTCAAAATTCGATCTTTAAATACTTAAAAATTGTGCTTATGTATTTTTAATATTTGTTAACTGATATTGTAAAAATATATCAGGAGCCTTGCATTAAATTTTTACACTTTTTGGCCCAACAGATAAAATAATATGTATAACCTTAATAAATAATAAAAAATATTTTCAAAATTGCATGGTGTATAGGAAATGCTAATATAAACATTCAGTGAAATTTTCATGTATCTACAGTTATTCGTTTTTGAATTACAACAAAATAAGGAAATCGCTACGTGAGAAATCGAGTGAATATCCAATGTTGTAAAAATTTAAATTTCAAACGCTCATAAAATTTAATTTAACTATCTTATAGACATTTTATTTTTGATAAAGGTAGATAATCTTATAAAGAATCTTGTATTACATTTTAAAATCTTAGATTTAAAAAGAAAAGTCTTTACGAATATTTAACTCAAAATAATTTTCCAATTTTCGTGATTTTTCCATATTTTGTCAATTTTTGAACTTTAAATGATTATAAAAAAAAAGTGACTAAGGATTTTGAATATTTTTCAAATTTAATTGTAACAATAAAGTAGAAGCCTTCTATTAAATTTTCAAGCGTTTTTAACCAACAAATAAAATATATATAAAAAATATTTAGAAAAAAAACTAAAAAAAATGCAAAATTAAAATGTTCCTAAACAGTTCAAAACAAACCATAATATTTGGAAAATTTTATCGTGTATAGAAAATGTAAATATAAACAACCAATGAAAATTTCATGTATATACATTCATTTGTTTTAGAGTTACACCAAAAACCAAAATCGATTTTCTCGAAAACAGATTTTGCTTAAAAATTTCCGTTTTTCCTTAATTTTTCTTATGTTTTTCAAGGCGATTTTGAAAACTACTGGGAAGTTTTTACTTTTGACCCTCAAAGTACCAACTAGATTTAGTTTCCTATCAGAAAAGATACTGTTGAAGAAAATCCAAGCATTTTTACTGTCCTAAAAGGTGATGACAAACACAAAAAAAAAACACTCATCATTATAAAATCAATACATTCACCGTTCCACTCAGAATCTAAAAATTATATACACATAAATATTAAATGGCTGACTTAATAATATGTTTCATGGTAATTTTAGTTAATAATTCAATAATAAAGGTACGTACTTTATTCAGGTTATATAGAATGGTTTAGTATCATTTGGTAATATTACTTATAAATATACGATCGGTTTAAAAATATTTATGTTTGAAACATTATTTAAAGATATGGCTAAATAAAAAACGAATATAATAATATATTATACAAAGATTTTTGTTTTAAATGGAATAAAAGCTAATTGAATCATAAGCAATTGTTGTACTTGTGGACTATGCTCTTGAAACGTTTCTCGATCCCAATTAATTCATCAGAAGTCAAAACCTTCAATTACTGTAGCCAGTCAGCCGCGCCGTTGGCATTTTCCATTACTCTACTCTGATTATTATTCAGTTCACTTAATATGGGTCTCGGTGGTAAATGGTAATAAACTCGTGTGAAAATTGTGTACGATCCTGTGTGCACGAGTGTGAATTAAAAATGTTCTGGTTCTGGT